GGAGGTGGGTTGAAAAGACGGGAAGGGTGATCGTTAGGATAGACAGACTAGGGACGACATTTTTGAGCCACCTTTGGCAAAGTAGAAAGGAACGATTGGCCNTACGCGCCGTCTTTGGTGCACCATGTGCATCAAATCTACCCCCCCCCCCCCCCCCCCCCATCCATCCGCAGGTCCAGGCTGCTCTCGACAACTTGCAGTCGCAGAAGCGCCGCACCACTCTCGTGGTGGCGCACCGCCTTACCACGGTACGGAACGCAGATCGCATCGCGGTCATTTCTCAGGGAGGCGTGATGGAGCTCGGGACCCACGATGAGCTCATGGCCACGTGAGTGTCTCCTGCGAACGCATGTAGACGCACCTTTAAGTAGGCCTATTAAGTTAGATGTAGCATTGGAAGAAGGCGTGGTTGAAAGCAAGGGCAATAGGGCGAAGGCTGCAATCGCCTTTGTCTTTTGGTTTGATTTCGTTCGCCTCATGGTGGGACGGAACACCTACTACTGTGTCGTCTCGAGTATATGGCCGTTTCGAGCGCCGCCCGAACTCCGTCCAAATTCGGTACAAGTTAATAATTTCGAAATGTTTTGCAGGACACCTAGGAGTCTGACCTAGTTTCGACACACTTGTAGTATGAAGTTTTTCCGAAACTCATCGGCAAGTTTAAATGTTGTATATTGGGGTCGTTTTAAGTTTCAAACTACCCGACCCTAGCTAGCCTAGAGCAGCAGTCGAAGCACGTGAAGGCCTGCCCCCTCAACCAACCGCTATGCCTGCTCGCGCGCCTACTATTAATAGGGCACTTTCCCCCTGCGACGTGGCTTCCCCCGGCCCGATTTTCACACGGAAGGTCGTCAAGAAGCCGTCCGTCCATCTTCCACGCGTCCGCGTGCCGTTAACACTTTTTGTTTTCCTTCTCGGTGTTGCTGCCTTTCCTCCTGTTCCTGTCGCTTGATTCAGGAGCGGCAGCATGTACGGGAAGCTCTACCACCAGCAGACGGACAAGTTCGTGTAGCGGCGTAATTTTTGACGCACCTACCGTACCTCCCTGCGCATCGCCACAAGAGCAGCAGCAGCAGCAGCAGCGGCAGCGAGCGGTGGCGGCAGCGCGTCAGGGACTGTGTACTAATACACTTGCAGCGGAGTGTTTGGTTATTGCATTTGCCGTGTGTGCCCTTGACGGCTATCTGTTGGTGCACCGCTGCCAGAGGAGCACACCACGATGACGCGTCTCATCCGTGCGGCCTTGCCCCGTGTTTTGCTCCAGTGGTTCGTTCATGCAGGGAGCGGTCTGTTTGACCATTTTTGTTTTTCGCGTACTGTACGAGGGCATTTGTACTCACCGGGGAACTTCTTGACAGCAATGTCTGTGCGTTGTATGCATGCGTAGGTTTGTAGGGCGGAAGGAAGCGACGCTTGAAAAGTTTTTGTTGATGCTCTGTTGTTGTTGTCCCGACATGAACAACCGTTCCGATCTCTCTACCCAGCGCCTTGGTCTGTTCGTACAGACCAAATACTTCAAAGTGTTCACCTTGAAACGAAATAAACGTTAGATAGACTGCCCGGGCATCGTTCGTTGCGAAGGGGCGGCTAGGGGACCCAGGCTTGACCTGTGCGCGAAACGTGGAACACTACAGTCTAAAGCTCGGAAACTGTTGCAGTACTGCCTGCCGGTCCTCCAAACGCAACTCATGCCGTTGGTCCTTGGGTGTCCTCCAGCCGCTTGAGGCAATGTATATGCATATGGTCTCCTGGAAGCGACGCGCTGCAAAAGCTCGTTGTTAGTATACTTGATCGACTTCATAAGTCGCGAGGGAAGGGATTGCTGTACCCTTCTCGCGATAAAAATATCTCAGGCAGGAACCGCAGGAGGGCGTCCAACCCTCCCCTCCTATGTTACCCCGGTTGGGTCGTCTAGCTGGTAGAAGTGGAGGATAGGGGGCAGAGGGGCAGACGACAGAGTCCAATGATGGGAGAAAAGAACAATATATATATTATATATGTAGTGTGGTGTGAGGCCACGCAAGCAGGTGGTGTGCGTGCGCACTTCATATCACGTTGTTCTCTGTGTTGTCTCCCTCATGCAGTCTGTGCTGGCGGTGAGGAGGGTTGATTGTCCGTTGCTGCTGTTGTTGTTGTCTTGACCTCAAAAACCGGCCTCTGCTCACAGCAGTGTACCTCATCTCCGTACCGGTGCAACTGGCGCGGACGCCTCACGTGGTCACAAGCCAACCACCGAAAAAGGGCGCACACACCACACATTTTCAAGTAATCAAAACCCAAATGTAAACAGGGCCCAGAAAATCTCGAACACGGTACAGCAGCAGGTAATAAGCAAGTCATCGTGTGACGAACTAACCCGGAGACGAGGAAGTCTCCGTCCGATGAACGCAAACGAGAGCCTCGCTCCTAGTGAGCACGCGATGCCCCGACATGGAAAAAATGCAACAAAAGGGAAGAGTCGACGATCACCATGGTTACTAGACTACGCATCATCATCATCATCATCATCATCATCATCAGCCTGGACAGGCGAGACTGAGAGGAGGAGGAGGAGGAGGATTTTACATATATACTATCTACATGTAGGAGGAGCCGCACAGCGGGTAGACCGACACCACCAGCCATGCATGCGTTCATCGGCGACCAAAAAATAATAATCGATTGTTCTTTTTTTCTTGGTCGAGTCGAGTCGAGGACACAACGAGCGGCATCACCACAAAACCTCTGTTTACCCTCGGGGGTCTCCCTTCTTCTGTCTGCTGTGCAGCCTACAGAGGCACGGCTCGCTCATTGTTGTATGTGTACGCCGTACGATGCGCAGTTTGCGAATTCTAATTCCGTTTTGGACTGAAACTGCTGCTACACTTTGTACTGGAAGTATCATAGTACCACACCACTACAAGAAGACTACTCTGTTGTTGTTGTTGTTGTTGTTGTTGTTGTTGTCTTTACATGTTGGATAAACCGGGTAGGCCGAAGGTTGTGGGTTTGTGGAGAAAGGCAGCTCGGCCAGTGAGGGCCGAGATGGGAAAGTCTTGTATTAGAGGGAAGAGGGAAGGGCAGAGACCACTCGAGGCCGAGCAGCCGAAGAGAGCGTCACCACACCTATCCGTCACGCAATTCAGATCACTCATCGAATCTCCGAAGAAACCAAGCAGAAACTAACTCCCTGTTCCTCCGCGATCTACCAACTGCAATCTCCGTATATCCATGTCCCATATTCAACCACATTACTATGCTACGAGTATATCTAACAGCCCCCCTGCTCGTATGCATCGTAATGACACGGCAAGTCAATATAATTCCATGAATCCAAAACGTGGATCCTACTCCTCCATGACAATTAGCCAAGAATGAAATCGATTATGCAAGTGTTCCTGAACCCACAACGTCTTGTCCCATCGTCTTCATTTCTTCTCTGCAAAACGCTCTTCCTCTGGTCCATCCTTTCTCAGCACTTCGCCGCAACGACACCCGCAAAGTACTTATGTCCCTCGCACAACTGAAAGCCTTAAACAATCCATCGAGTCAAACCTGTCTGTGGAACTCCTCTTCATTTTCTTTCCAAAACACGGATCAATTCGTAGAAAATCGCCTTCTCTGTTGTGCATCCGACTACGTTCATCCGACTACGAATCCTACCAAAAATACACAAACTTTCGAACACAAACCAAAGTATACGTTTCATGCCCACTTCGCAAATAAAACGCTTCTGGGCATGGTACCAATCCTCTACTCTCACACTTCCGATCAAATAACATCCATCCCCAAACATTCGTTCAGCGTTGAGATCATTTGAGCAGAACATACGCGAGCGAGTATTTTCCTTACTGTTTCTCCCTAGAAACTTAGCACCAGCTACAGTGAATTCCTTCCGAAAGAACAACGTGCCCCCCTGCTCTGGGAGATCCGCCCCCCTGATTTAAGGGTTGGAGTCAGAACCACAGACCAAAAGAACGACATTCAAAATTAATCCAGTCGAGACCCAAGAAAAACAAACCTGCTACAAATAAATCCCGACGAAACACCAAAAACAAATCAAATCCAATACCAAAACAACGTTCACAACCCGAATGCTAGAAATCAATTCAACACGAAGACCAAAATCCAATCCAACCAACACAATCCAATACCAAAATAATAATACTCGAACCCCTACATTTGCCGGCGCATCAAGCTCCAGCGCTTAACCCATTGCCCAAGCCATTGTTTCTCCCCCCCCCAGCGGATATTTCGCACGCCTTCGCCGCGGTCGCCTATCTCCTTTCATATTTTCCGGCTGGCCGCGGCTCGAGCTTGGATGTTTGCGTCCGCCTGGAGTGGAGGAAGAACAATTGTCGCTCCCGTAGGATTGACTCGGCGGTGGTGTAGGGCAGGTCGCGCGTTTGGAGGGGAAGATGGCGGCAGATCAGTTCCGAATAAACCAGCACTACTGAGGAGAATCACATACCACGAACATTCCCCCCGGTTCTGCACAGTAGTGACTG